AGATTGGATTTATACCCCGCCCTTCACTACCCAGAGTGGCTTACAATCCCTTTCCTTTCCCCTCCCCACAACAGACACTGTGTGAGGTAGGTGGGGCCGAGGGAGCTCTCTTGAGAACTGCCCTTGAAAGAACAGCTCTGAGAGAACTTGCGACTGACCCAGGGTCACACCAGCAGCTGCATGTGGAGGAGGGGGGAATCAAACCTGGTTCTCCCAGATTAGAGTCCACACTCTTAACCACTATACCAAACTAGCTCTCTATTGGATATACTACAGCAAATTCCACTTCCTCTCAAGACAATAGGATTGATCCTGTCTGGCAATATGATTCCTTTTAATAGACCTCACCAGAAAAAGTACAGGATCTAGCCACACAAAGGCAACCCCCATGCTGTTCCAGTACTATGAACTGGGCCTCCAAAGACCAAGAGAAAGCGATTTCTCCTCCTCTGTTTACAATATGGTTGACAGAATTCATTTGGGGAAGATCGTTAATCACAACGGCTGGCGGGGAGAAAATCCTCCCCTTGTTTTTGAGCCAAGTCGTGCCTGAGATTTTGCAGGTGTGACCCTATGGAATCTACCTATGGAATCAAGGTAGAAATTCCGCCCGGCCCACCATGAAACAAAAACTCAACTACAGCCACTGTGAGACATAAAGATTAAACCTTCGCTTCTGACAAAGCCCGAAGTACATACAGAAAAAACAATTGGGGAAAAAACCAACAACTCTCAAGTTACTTACTGTAGGAATAGCTGCTAAATTCAGATATTGCTGGCGAAGAAGTAACCTTCAGGTGACCTTTGAGTTTTAGCCCCACCTCCATCTTCTTCATTTTGGCCGCCATTTTGTTTTTACCTTCTTTGGAGGCCTTCAGGGAGAAGCTCAGGGTGTTGGACAGTCTCTTCTTTTCCTCACGTGGCAACAGATATCGGCTGCCCCCACACCCGCCGTTCTTCTGCTTCCCTCCAGAGCTGCCCGTGCACTTAAAAGGAGACCTCAACTTGCTGTGCCTGGAGAGCGAGAGGGCTTTGTCCAGCTTGCTCACCAGATGCTCTTGGTCACAAGCCAGCTTCTTCTTCTTAATCTTTAACTGCAGAAAAGGAAGGGATGCGACAAGCGCGGATGAGTTCACTCGCAAACACCTTTTGTTGTTCTCCCTTTATGTCTGACTTCACCTAGTTCGACGGCCTTCTGGCCTTTGGGGAGACCTTTCCAGATTGACTTTGTCTGCCATGGAGCCCCCAGAGGACCGCACAGGATTCTGGGGCATATTCAAGGGCAGACACGCTCAGCTCCTGCGTGACACCTGGTAGTCCCGTTGGACCTTACTGATACCTCGGTGAACCAGGAAGGGTCTGCAAATGGCATGGGAAGATCAATCGCGGTGGGGAAGCAGTTATTTTCAGGGAACCCTTTTCTGCTATTGCCGAGAAGCTTCCAAGAAATCTTAACGGTTTCCCTCAGAACACGGTTTGAAAAAACCACAGACCTAGATGTGAAACCGGAAACCCATGACGGGGGTGAAAGAGTACATTCCAGTATTGTTTCCTCACGTGCTGCCAATTAGCAAAATAAGAGCGTATTCCTTGAGGACCTCCTTGGCAGGAGTTACCTCACAACGAAAAGAGAGCTTTTGATTTTTGAAAGCGTATACCCCGAAACTCTTGTTGGTCTCTCTGGTGCTACCAGACTCAAAACACTGTTACTCTCAGACTGAGAGGAGGAAAGTGTGATGTCTAACCACTATTTTTGGGTGTATTTTGTGCCTGAACTTTACTGACGCGTCACATTGATTGTGCTATCCAGGCCCCTTCTCATTCGACATGGTGGGGTCGATGGTGGTAGTGATGTATTAAACCTCAGATGTTACGAGAAGTAAACCCTCAGTGGCCACATGACCACGGAAATGTCTTCGGACAGCGCTGGCTCTTCGGCTTTGAAACGGAGATGAGCACCGCAACCCTGGACTCGGATTCGACTGGCTTTCGAGCAAGGGACACCTTTACCTTTTAAACCCTCAGTAACTTCAGTTTCCACACAGAGTTGCCAACGAGTTGAGCAAAGAAATGGGGGGTTCCCTCAGGACGCGTAAGGAACTTCTGGGGGAAACCAAGAGCATTTTAATTCGGACGAGCAAAGGTTTTTCAAAGGGGAGTCGCACATCCATACCTCAGACAACTCCATGAGGTAAATAATTAAGCCCTGTGGAAGGCGTCATCAACAAGCGATGATACACCACCCAGTAAGTTTCACCTGTCCTTGCCTCAGAGAATTGACAGTTCCTCTAGACCAGCGGTTCTCAACCTGTGGGTCGCGACCCCTTTGAGGGTCGAACGACCCTTTCACAGGGGTCGCCTAAGACCATCGGAAAACACAAATTTCCAATGGTCTTATGATAGCAACGAAAATAATTTTATGGTTGGGGGTCACCACAACATGAGGAACTGTATTAAAGGGTCGCGGCATCAGGAAGGTTGAGAACCACTGCTCTAGACTCAAAAAAATACTTTCTCGGGGCCCATGTTTTTGGAACCTAAGACTCACATGGGCTTCTCCTGGCACACAGGCCGTTTTACATTCTCTGCGGTCCACAGGGCTGTTGCTAGAGGTGACTATCCAGCTCATTCCACACTCAGATTCGAATCCTCGTCCATAAAGCTCATAATCAACAAGGCTGCCTGTGAGCCTAACTCGCCTCACAGCTCATTTGTCACATAAATTACGGTTATCGGAGATGATCTGGCCTGAAGCTTCCTTGAGAATGCACCACTATATGGCCGTATTTGCGCTTGACAGCTCCTAAAGAACGTTTTGGAAACCCTAATAATATAAGAAGAACCTTGCTGGATCAGACCAGTGGTCCGTCTGGTCTGAGCGCCCTGTTTCTGGCAGAGGTCAGCAAGAGAACTCTATGAGGTCTACAAAGCGGGGCATGAAGTCACTGGTGTTTGCATAGTCCCCTTTTAAAGCCATCTCAAGTTTTAAGTGGCCATCACTACACCCTGTGGCAGTGAGTCCCATAGGCCAATTATGCCTTGTGTCACTGTTTTTATCTGACTTGAAAATACTGCGCATCGGCTTGACTGGGCGCCCCCAAGATTTAACGTTATGGGAGTGGGAGAAAGTATTCTCTCATTCTCCTTTCTCTATGGCATACAGAATTCGATACATCTGGCACGCCCTCTTCTCCTAATCTGAAAAGAAAGCTTCAGACGTTTTTGCCTTTTCCTTGTAGAAGAAGAGGAGGAGGAGGAGGAGGAGGAGATTCAATTTATACCCCGCCCTTCACTACCTGAAGGAGTCTCGGAGCAGTTTACAATCCCTTCCCCTCCCCACAACAGACACCCTGGGAGGTAGGAGGGGCTGAGAGAGCTCTCTCGATAACTGCCCTTGAGACAACAGCTCTGAGAGAACTTGTGACTGACCCAAGGTCACACCAGCAGCTGCATGTGGAGGAGCTGTGGGGAATCAAACCCGGTTCTCCCAGATTAGAGTCTGGACACTTAACCACTACACCAAACTGGCTCTGAGGGAACCTGTGACTGACCCAAGGTCACACCAGCAGCTGCATGTGGAGGAGCAGTGGGGAATCAAACCCGGTTCTCCCAGATTAGAGTCTGCACTCTTAACCACTACACCAAACTGGCTCTTGTCGAGGAGTTGCTTCAGTCCTAACTCTTTTCCAGACCTGCAGCTAAGCATAAATTTGATGTATGTAAGAGCGGCATTCACGCAAGGAAACTTCACAGTGGGAAAACTCACCATCTGGTGACACTTCCCTTTTGGAAATGTTCATGTAAGACTCAAACCTAAATCCGGAGGGGAAAAAACGTTTCACGTGTCAGAAAGCCCAACCTGCATTAGCTCGCCTGGGCGGGAGAGGTACCAACCTCGCTGGAAAAGCTCGCCAGCACGTCATGCTCGTCCCAACTGCGATTTCTCCCTTTCGCCTTCCCGCTCCTGCTGTCTGTGTCCTCGTCCTCGTCCAGGAGGAAGCCCCTGTGCCTTTTCCTCGACCCTTCTCCCGCCTCCGAGTCTTCGGAGAGCAGCAAGGACTTGCCCAGCCTGAAAACCAGATAAAACAGGGGTCCGTGGGACTGGGATCCAGCACTGCCGCCTTGCGGGATCAAAGAAATAAACAGAAGAGACTCCGAAGATCTGCAAAGCTCCACTTGAACATGGTCCAGTGCTCTAAGCGATGGCAGAGAAGAAATGGAAGGCCCAAGTCCAAGGCAGCATCAGCTGGAGTTTCCAAATGTAAAAAGGCAAAGGGCAGGGGCCCCTGACGTGCTGCCTGGGGGTGCCGGGGCACCTGCCAACACCTTTTCCGGCACAAGTGTGTATAGAGTAAATGGGAGGAGGAGGAGAAGGGGGAGGGGGAGAATAGAAAAAGGAAGAAGAGGAAGGAGAAGAGGAAAAAGAAGAGAAGGAAGAAGGAAGAAGAGGAAGAAGAGAAGGAAGAGGGAGGGGGAAGAAGGAGAGGAGGAGGAGAGGAGAATAGAAAAAGGAAGAAGAGGAAGGAGAAGAGGAAGAAGGAAGAAGAGAAGGAAGAGGGAGGGGGAAGAAGAAGAAGAGGAGGAGGAGGAGGAGGAGAATAGAAAAAGGAAGTAGAGGAAGGAGAAGAGGAAGAAGGAAGAAGAGAAGGAAGAGGGAGGGGGAAGAAGAAGAAGAGGAGGAGGAGGAGGAGGAGAATAGAAAAAGGAAGTAGAGGAAGGAGAAGAGGAAGAAGGAAGAAGAGAAGGAAGAGGGAGGGGGAAGAAGAAGAAGAGGAGGAGGAGGAGGAGGAGAATAGAAAAAGGAAGTAGAGGAAGGAGAAGAGGAAGAAGGAAGAAGAGAAGGAAGAGGGAGGGGGAAAAAGAAGAAGAGGAGGAGGAGGAGGAGAAGTTAGTTTTATATGCAGGAAGGAGAAGAAGGAGAAGGAGAAGGAGAAGAAGAGGAGGAGAGTGGATTTATACCCCGCCCTTCCCTCGGAGTCTCAGAGTGGCTGACAAACTCCTTTCCCTCCCCCTCCCCACAACAGACACCCTGGGAGGTAGCTGGGGCTGAGAGAGCTCTGAGGGAACTGCCCTTGAGAGAACAGCTCTGACAGAACTATGGCTTGCCCAAGGTCATCCAGCAGCTGCAAGCGGAGGAGTGGGGAATCAAACCTGGTCCTCCCAGATTAGACTCTGCACACTTAACCACTACACCAAACTGTGTACACTACACTAAACTGGCAGCTCCCCCCCCCAGCGGGAAAGGAAACCATACTGGAAAGCCAGTGTAACCAAAGCAGAACCGCAGGGAAGAGGGAGGCCAATTCATCCTCCTGCCACTGTATAAGACTGCCAGATCTGACTTTCTGGGAGTGGGGAGAGCACGTGATGCAATGTCATCACATTGGCGACATCATACGGTGACACTCTGGTATTCTGGGCAAAACTCTATGGTTACCGTAGAGTTTCGCCCAGAATACCAGAGTGTCGTCAATATGATGTCGCCAATGCGATGACATCACTTCCATGGGATTACCATAGATGTGGTGACCATAGAGTTTCGCCCAGAAAACCAGAGCGTTGCTGTGTGACATCGCTGATGTGATGACGTCATTTCTGTGTGATGTCATCACATTGCATTTGGGGGAGGGATTTTCCCCTGCCAGCCACCTGGCTGGCGGTGGGGAAGAGGCCTGAAAATCAGGGAAATCCTCGCCCCCAGCTGGGGAATGGGATCCCTATCACCGCGTTTGTCCACCCAACCGACGTTCCTCCACATCTATTTCTTCCTGCCCTGGGGCCCGCTCTTGTTGGTTCCCCCCCCGTTCACCCCCCTCCGGCACAGCAATCCCTAACAATGGTGGATGCCATCAAAACATATGTACATGTGTGTGTGTGTGTATATATATAACAAGTTCTTGAATATGCATTATTTAGAAGCAGCAGAAATGACAGAAATTTATTCAACAGAAACCCTCATCCACAAACTTATGCAGCATGAATATTTCACCCATCACCCGAAATCTATATGATTACATAGAAACACTTCATTGATACAAGTATGCGTATTCTGGAGCACCACCAGTTGATGTTACAGTCAGTTCTTCCTTCATTGTTAGTTAACCGTTCTATTCGTAACCTTTAAAATGTTATGACTGCTGTTATTATCCATAGATATTGCTAATAAATAAGTAGTGTTTGAAGGAAATTATTCGTAACCTTTAAAATGTTATGACTGTTATTATCCATAAATAATGCTAATAAATAAGTAGTGTTTGAAGGAAAAGGAATCAGAAAAACCAAAATCAGTATTTGTTTGGGTTTAGAAAATCTGGTTCGTTGAACTCCTTGGATGACGGCAATTGCTCCCTTTAACAGACACACAAAGTTCCAGCGACCACTGAGCGTCCCTTCCCAGGCGACCACAGCAGATAAACAAAACGTAACGTTACAAAGGAGAGGTGAAGGTTTGTAGAAGACACACGGGACAGACAGCAAGAAACAGACGGACAAAACTGCCCTTGACCTCCTTGGCAATAACCCCCAAAGGCACCGCCCACGCTAAGAACTGGCTTCACCTGGGAAAACAACGCAAGGACAGCTTCGTACAATCTGGCTGAAATCCTTGAAACGCCCACATTTGCAAAGGAAAATTTTTTAAAAAAACAAACCAAAACTTGAAAACAAGCCAGAATAATCCATGCATGGGGAGCAAAATTCCAATGTCATACAAAAGAGAGAGAGGAAGGGAAAGAAGAAGAGCCAACATCAGGAACCACAGCGAGACCACGACGTCAACACGGATCCTTGGACTCTTTCGAAAACAACCAGGGAGTCCA